ATAAGCTTTGGCATTAGTGAGGCTATGGAGGTGAGGGATAAACCTTGGACTCGTGAGTTGTGATCGCACGTGGATGTTTGATAAGGAGGTTGAGAATAGGTTGATGCCTAGCTCCCAAGTCTCCCCATCAAATCTTGATAAATCTCTTTTATGACTCCTCTTTATAATGATCGGTTTAGCTAGCTTTGGTGAAGTCGTTGTGGAGCTAGGAGTAGCGGCGAGGGTTGAAAGACAGATTGGAATTTTTCAAGATGAAAAGATGTTACTACACACTCTCAAACTTGAGTAGAGGAGGAGGGATGATGTAGAGCTTTCGGTTAGATAGTTATAGGAAATTTGTATTTGATATGAGCTTTGGCATTGAGAGGCTATGGAGATAAGAGATAACCCTTGGATTGTGAGTCGTGATTGTAGGTTGATGTTTGATAAAGAGGTTGAGAATAGGTTGATGCCTAGTTCTCAAGTCCGCCCACCAAATGCTTGATAAATCCTTTCTATGACTCCTCCTGTGGTGACTGGTTTAGCTAGCTTTGGTGAAGCTACTATAGAGGTAGGAGTAGCTGGCAAAGGTTGAAGGACGACTAAAGAGGGACTTTTCTTAGGATGGCCGATAAGGTTTTTGTAAGGTATCGGTGAAGAAGGCTAGTTTCAATAACTATGACAAGTTGGGTTGTTTGGCGGTGTAGATGATTGGAGGAAGGATGAAGAAGGCGTTTTGAAGAGCCATGACAACCATCCTTTTTCGGAAAAATGGGATGGTCGCCCAGCCTTTTATTCTTCTTTTTTTGAAAGGCGACATTTTTTAGTGGTTTAAGAGGATATGAGAATTGTGGAAGCTTTTTCTTTGTGGCTCCTCTTATGGCTCTTCTTGTAGCCATTCCCCTTCAAACATCAAAGAAATGGTTGCTTTTATAGGAGGTATTTAGGGTTGAAAGGAATGAGTCATTTTTTCTTTTTGTATTTTTTATTTTGTATTTTTGATTTTTTTTCAATTTTTTTTTTTTGTATTTGTAGTAAATTCCAAAATAAAGTAAAATGACATAAAATACAAATAAGAAATAAATAAAACAACAAAAATATGGGAAAATTTTAGGTTATGATAGGAAAGTTGATGCTTTTGGTAAAATAATTATGAGATCTTAACGGGTTCTAATTCTAAAATTATTCTTTTTTAGCATTTTATGTTTTTCTATGTTATTTGAATATAATTATGTGATTAATTGATTAGAGTATATGCTAGTTACTTGATCATCATAATCTATTGCTAGCTAAGTATTCAAGTCTAAATAATTGTTTTTCTAAACTTTTTTATGGTAGTAAATAGGGATTAATGATTATAAATGTTTTTTTTATTTAATCCCTTGAAAAACATAAAACTAGATTACATCTTTTTAGTATTTAAAAGAGTGGTTTAACTTCACATGTCTCTTTAATTTAATACTATTGTTGGATTAAATCTAGCTACCGTCTACTAGGTTGTTCAATAGTTAGGGATTAATCTAATAATGTCTATTTGGTTAATGAATCGAGTAAGGAAAAATTAGAGATAACATACGTGTTATTGTCCTATAGTAAATATTCATGTTAAGAATAGGTTGAATCAATGAGTAGTGATTCAACCAAAAGTGTATACCAAACTTTAACCAAGTTTTTTTTCACCGTTGTTATTTCTACTTACTTTTGATTGCTTTACAAATCTCTACAAATACAATCCCTTTTTATTTCCATTGCATTTTAGAACAATCAGTTGATAGAAATCACCGATTAGACTATTTTCTTATAGGTTTGACCTTTGCTTGTCTTATTTACACTCTTGTGGTTGGGTTCAGTAAGGAAACTAAATATAATCTAATTTATTGATAGTATGACATGTCATCAACTCTAGGTCCGGATGGTTTTCAACTCATGCTCCTCCAAAAGTATTGGCATATTGTTGGGGACTCTATAGTTTAGATGGTTTAGAAAGTCTTCGACTCTAGTATTTATCGATCACGTATTCTAAAGACCTTACTTGTATTGATTTCAAAAGAAGAACACCTAGTGAATATGAAGCAGTTTAGACATATAAGGCTATGTAACAAAATTCTTACAAAGGTTTTTAGTCTAGAGAATCATACCTTTTATGGTTCAACTAATCAACCCACTTCAAAATGCTTTTATATCTAGTCAAACCAAGTATTGATAATTTAATACTAACCCAAGAGCTTATACACACCATTTGAAGATCGAAGAAGAGATTGAACTCTCTTGTAATTAAAATTGACTTGGCTAAGGCTTATGATAGGGTTGATTGGCGATTCTTGAAATTGATTTTAGCTTCCCTTCTAAATATGTTCAATCGATCATGTCTTGCATTTCAAATTTAGCCTTTTCAATCTTATGGAATGGTATTAATTTTGCCTAGCTTCAATCCTAAACGAGATCTTCACCAAAAGTGGTCTTGGATACTATGAAGTAATTACTAGGATGCTAGTTAATAAGCTCAAAACTCATGTTTACATCTCTTTACATAAATCTATGCGACACTAGAAAGAATTAAGTAGACGTCCGAATTTCTCTTTTACTTAAGACTAGGGAAATTACTTGGGGGTCTCTCTCTTTATGATAAGGAATAGATCCTCCTTCAAACATATTACCGAAAGAATTCATAATCGGCTAATGGGTTGGAAAGCTTTGTTATTGAGCAAGGTTGGTTGATGTTCCTTGATACAATCTACAATCTTAACCTTTCCTTTCTACACCATGTAGTTGATTTGGCTTCTTTCGACCTTTCACAATGAGGTAGATTATAGTGCCAAAGGCTTCCTTTGAGGGTCTCTTGAGGTTAGTATAAGAATTCATCTTTTAAGTTGAGAATTTGTTACTATCTAAAAAAAAAAAAGGTGGATTGGGTCTTCGGATGGCAAGAGAAAACAATATTACCATGTTAGGCAAGCTAGGATGAGATTTGATTCGGACGATAGATAAGCTTTGGGTTGATATCATATCTCATAAATACCTACAAGATGAGTCCCTTATGTTTCACCACCCTCTTCAAACAACGTCTCTAACATGGAAATCTATTTGTAAGTCTTTCTCTTACTTAAAGGATGGTTGTATTTGGCATATTGGTGATGGTTAGAAAATCTCTTTATAGTTTGATATATGGCTAACACTGTTCCGTTATAATATCTTGTAACCACTATTGAATTAGAGGATAGAGATTTGTTAGTAGTAGACATCATCTATAAGTTTGAAAATTGGGAGATATCTCATCTATGCACTCATTTTCCCGATCATATACACCCTTATTTATCGGCAATTCCTCTTATTAGAGTGTTCTCTTCAATACACATACTAATTTGAGGAAAATCTAGTTTAGGATGCTATTCCGATAAATCGGGTATGAGTTTGTCACCCGAGTTCCTTACCTAATAGAGTTAAACTCCCATTAGAAGAGCATTGGAGTATGACATTAGAAAAAAAACATTGTTTTTTTTTTCTATAGGAATTAGAGTGGAAACGTCTTTCCACCAATATACTCGGATTTTATATGGGCATGTCCACATCCCATATGTGCCAAAGATGTGGTGAGGCATAAAAATCAGCTTCGTATATCCTTAGAGATTGTGTTTGGTCTAAGTTTATTCCGTAGCGGTTAACATGCCATTGTTACCTCTTCCGACTTCTTCTCACCTACTGGGAGAATTGGTTCCGTGGTAATGGCTTTTGTACAATCATCCTTTGGAATCAACGCAATCTTTTTATTCTTAATTGTTGGATTACTTGATGTGCATAGAATAAAGAGGTTATTCAAGGTGATATTCTTTCCCCTAGGAGTCGATTAAGCTAATTCACTCTCTCACTAATGATTTTGTTTTAGCCTTTGAGACTCCACCTACTACTCATCCGCCCAATCCTAATGTTGGGTTTCTTGGGTAACCCTTCCCGAGTGTCGTTAAATGCAACACTCATGGTAGCTTTTTAAGCTCAACTACACATGCTTGAATGGCTAGCTTGATCTGTGACTATTGTGGTGCTGGGAAAATTAGATTTTCATGATATATGGGACACTCATTTATTATGATGGCCGAACTTGAAGCGACTCATCGAGGATTGACCTTGGCTCGTGATTGTGGTTATAGAAAAGTGCTTATGAAGACTAACTCTCAAAAAGCAATCAATGCTATTTGTAATGAAGCTCTTCGGACCACCCCTATCACAACATCATCATTAATATCCGATATTTTTGTCAATGGTAATTGTATGTTTCCTTTAACCGTACTTTGAGAGAAGGTAACCGAATGGTTGATCATCTCGCCCATATTAGTTCTTCTAATAACACTTTTTTATTTTATTTTTCATTTTTGGACTCATCCTCCATTTGGTATATGTGATATTTTGTCTAGTGATGCTGTGGGTTTTTTTTTTTTTTGGTACAGCCAAAAAAAAAAAAAAAACCCACCACGTTAAGCCTATACAACAATAAATTATAAACTAATCCCTATAAATTTGTAAAATAAATTAAATAGTTGTTTTATTTTAAAAAACTAATCAAGTAGCCTTAACGTTTACAAATTTGTTTGTAACTTATCTTTCCATTTATTTAATGTTTTTTTTTAAATTATTTTGTTTTTTATTTAAGAAACATAAAAATGAAAAAAAAAGGTAATATGAAAAGATTGATATAAAAATGAAAAAAAGTAGGTAATATGTAAAGATTGATAAAAACAACGGTTTTGAAATTAAAACAATATTAAATTAAACATTATAAACGCTTGTTAATAAATTAGTTAATTAGTTTTTGAAATTAAAACAGCTATTTAATTCATTTTAAAACCTAGAGGGACTAATTTATAATTTATTCGCCTACACAAGCTAATGTCCTGATATAAAAATCCGAAGAGACGAGAGTTGTCCCAATGTTCACGTTCTCGTTGGCAAAGAAAGAGAGAAAGAAAGTGGAAAACAAATTAAATTACTCCAAATTCAGCTAATTCTAGAAAGAAAAAAAGAAAACGATGGCAGAGGTAGGAGTGGAGACGAAGCAAGCAGAATTAATTTTAATGGCGGAGGAGACTTGCTCAGCCAAAACGGCGGGGAAGCAAGGAGAAGGGCTAAAGCAATATTATCTCCAACACATTCACGAGCTCAATCTCCTTGTCCGCCAAAAGACCAACAATCTCAATCGCCTCGAAGCTCAGCGCAATGACCTCAATTCCAGGGGTTTCTTTCTAACTTTTTCTTTTCTACTTGTTTTTTTTTTTTTTTTTTTTTTTTTTTGAATCTGGGATTTTATTTATTGTCTGGATACATTTGTTAGCTAGGGTTGTATTATTCGATTTTGTTTTCGTTTTTATCCTCTGATGCTTGTGCTTGATAATTATGTGTTTTTTTTTCTTTTTTGTGGCCTTTGGAATCTGCGCTAGAATAATCAGTTTTCTTTTTTTTTTTTTAATGAATGGATCAAATTTAGTAACCAAAACTTGAATGAGCTGAAACTGGAATTCCATCAATTTTTAGTAATTTCTGATTTTGGGTCCATCAAACAATTGAATATCTGGAGGGCTCCATACCCATATCCTTGTGTTGGATCACTATTTGTGGGATGAGGTTATAATGGATACACAACTATTTCCTTTTCTACTATACTGGCTTGCTTAAGTTGATAGATTTGCTTCGTCTTTTCATTTTCCCTTGTTCTTCTTATAGAGCAGTTCATTATTACTACTTAATACTTAACAAATACATCAACGATATTGTTTACGTTTAATGTTCACAGTGAGGATGCTTAGAGAAGAGTTACAGCTACTTCAAGAGCCCGGGTCGTATGTTGGTGAGGTTGTTAAAGTAATGGGGAAGAACAAGGTGTTAGTTAAGGTACCAAACATGTCTCTCTAATCTTTGTGTTAATTTATTTGTATGTTCCTACACTGCCAAGCAAGGCTTCATTGCTGGTGTTTCTTACTCTGCATTATTGTCCTTTCTCTTGTGAACTGTCATGTTAACAACATTGAATGTTGATATTTGATATGCTGCTGGTATTGATAAAGACATGTTTCTTCTACCAGGTTCATCCTGAAGGGAAATATGTTGTTGATATTGATAAAACTATTGATATCACGAAGATCACTCCTTCAACAAGGGTTGCACTTCGCAATGACAGCTATGTTCTCCACCTGATCTTGCCAAGCAAAGTTGATCCTTTGGTCAACCTCATGAAGGTTGAAAAGGTTCCAGATTCAACTTATGACATGATTGGTGGTCTTGACCAACAAATTAAAGAGATAAAGGAGGTTTGTATGTTCTTTCTTTCTGTTTATTTTTATTTACTATTATTATTATTGTTATTATTTGCACCTGTGGCTCTCTTTGATTCATTACTTTCACTGTCATCTTAGGTTGTTGATTGGTGTCATGGTTTCTTATTTTCTTGCCTGACACTTTTTAGGTTATCGAACTTCCAATCAAACACCCTGAATTGTTTGAGAGTCTTGGAATCGCTCAACCAAAGGTAGGATTATTATTATTATTATTTTTAATTTTTGCAAGTGTGCTGCTATAAAGTCATTGCTATCTGTCAATTCGTATGTTTGATGCCTTTGAATTTTGGTTATCTCTCTCTCTCTCTCATGTGTAGGGTGTTCTCCTTTATGGGCCACCTGGTACAGGAAAAACTCTATTGGCTAGAGCAGTGGCTCATCATACTGACTGTACTTTCATCAGGGTTTCTGGCTCTGAATTAGTTCAGAAGTACATTGGGGAAGGATCTAGAATGGTCAGAGAGCTTTTTGTAATGGCAAGGTCTGTGTCTCTATTTATTTGAATAAATCACTCTTGATTGATTCTTAGCTTCTTAATGTCATTTTGTTTAAAGTGCCTATGATTAAATTCCTCCGTCATAGGCAGTATGACTCACTATTTTAATAAAAAGCCATATGGGTATCACAATTCTGGCATACCAGAACAATGTACATTAAGCCTCCACTCAAGAAAGTGGCAGTGTGGGGGAGAAATAAAGTAACCATTCCGATTTGGAAAACCATGATCTGGAAAGAAGGTTATTATGTCTTCAAAGATTCGTTAATTGGTTATCAGCATGTATTCTTACTTCTTACATTGAAAATGCTCTCATTGTATATTTGTATTGCCATTTGTCCGGACTTTTCTACCCTTCTGCTGTGCTGTGCAAATCTGCTTGCTTTTATACCAGTGCTTTTCATTTCACATCTTATATCTGTTGTGGTTTCTGGCTTCTTAATTTTGTCACAGGGAGCATGCTCCATCAATTATTTTTATGGATGAGATTGACAGCATTGGATCTGCACGAATGGAATCCGGGAGTGGCAATGGTGACAGCGAGGTGCAGCGGACTATGCTAGAGCTTCTTAATCAGCTGGATGGATTTGAAGCATCAAACAAGATCAAGGTACTGTGTGTGCCTTCAGAAAAGAATGGACAAATAGGGGAAACTATGTGAAATATAAACACAGTTATTCGTATTACTCACTAACTGTTCTGACGTACACTTTTAACAGGTTTTGATGGCGACAAATCGGATTGATATTCTGGATCAAGCTCTTCTTAGGCCTGGACGAATTGACAGGAAGATTGAATTTCCAAATCCCAGTGAAGATGTATGCATCTTTATCATTTGTTTATTCTGTCTTGTTTCCTTCTAGCTGTTTCAAAGAGATTAACATCCTGAATAATGAATATGCAGTCACGTCATGATATCTTGAAAATCCATTCAAGAAGAATGAATTTAATGCGTGGGATTGATTTGAAGAAGATCGCAGAGAAGATGAATGGTGCTTCTGGTGCAGAGCTGAAGGTATTTTTAACCCTATGTCTATTTATCTTGTTCCACGTTTTTTTAAGTGCTGTATAGGTGATTATAATTCATTCAATCTTCAAGATTCATAAGGTTGTATTTAGATAGAGATGGCAGGGAGAATCGAAGCTTGGCTTTATGTCAAAATAAATAAAATGAAGATGAGAGGGGGATGTTGTGGTTGTGTTTGAATCAATCTAACATGTTTTCATGATGCATACAGTTTATTTCTTTCTCCAGTTATCAATAACCACTGTTTTGGGGTTATGTTTCTTTGGAAGTGATTTCGTTGTATGTCCTTGGCAAAATGGTATGAAAATGTTTTGTTTTCTGCATTATGAAAGGGGAAAAAAAAAAAAATTCTAGAGTAATGTACACATGGCTTTCACTACAATCGTATGCCTGTATGATGGTTGTTTGCATTTTGTTCTACTTCCACAGGCTGTATGCACAGAAGCTGGAATGTTTGCTTTGAGAGAGAGAAGGGTCCATGTTACACAAGAAGATTTTGAAATGGCAGTAGCCAAGGTCATGAAGAAGGAGACTGACAAGAACATGTCATTGCGGAAGCTCTGGAAATAATTTAGATTTTTCGTTGGAATGGCATACGCTGCCAAAGCATGGACCTTGGTTGATTGGTTGGAGTTGTAAGTACCTCCAAACCAAAGCTGAAAGAGCACGAGTTTCTGTTTTTGAACCATTGGGAAAGTCAAGAACAAAAATCAAAAAGCACCACGCTTTATCCCTAGTGTGAAACATCTGTGGCAGGGGGTTACATGCCTGGAGTCAGTACCTTGGTGTTCTTTTTCATGCACTAGGAAAAGCTATTGTTGTCTCTGTTTTAAAAAGAGTATTTGTAATTATGATGCACTATCCTTAGCTTGAGATGATGAGATGAATAATATGGTGCAGCTAGCTCTTCATTGCTAGGTGCCGCTCATGCTTTCATGATAGTTGCTATTTAGAATGCAGGTTTACGTTTTAATGTCTCAAATATGAGGCTGCTAACTAGTAAATTATAAATTAGTACTAGTTTTTGTAAAATGAATTAAATAGTTCCTTTAGTCTCAAAAACTAATTAAGTAGTCTTTTTCATCCCTTTCATGTCTTCCAAATCATTTTGTTTTTATTTTGTTACGAAAATAAAAAAAGGTATAAAATTAAATAGGTATTATGGAAAGATTATGAGAAAATTGGGTATATTTTTAGAATAAATTAATATTAAATCAAGCATGGTTAATATTAGTTAAGAAACTAATTAATTAATTTTTAAAACTATAGGGATTATTTAATTTATTTTTTAAAAATCTAGGAACTAATGTTCTGTTAATTAAACATCACAATAATAGTTCGGAATACTTGAGTCCTTGGTTGAGCTATTTAAATTTTAAACCGTATGGTGGCAGATAAGCTTGTCATGAATTCGTCTTGAGATTGATGAGTAAATAAAATGTGCATGTATTGCGAAAAAAAAAGAAAAAAAAAAGAAAGAAAAAGTAGGTAAGAAGCAATTTCTATATTATTCAAGGGTCACTCTTGAAAAAAATAGAAATAGAAATCGTTGTTTTAGGTTGTGTTTGGTATGATGTTAAAAATTTGAAGGAGAAATGTTAAAGAGATAAGATTTAAATGTGAAGTGTTGTGGGCGTAAGATAAAAGGAATGAAGTGTTCAGCATGTTTGATAGAAATTGAAAAAATTCAACATAATAGTAGGTTCCAATATAAATCAAATCTAAACTTAAATTAAATATAATTATAAAAAATAATTAAATAATATATATTTATGATAAAACAGGAACGTGGAAGAAGAAAAAATGATAACTTTAAATTGAAAAAAATAGAGAAAAACGTATAAGATCTCAAAATTCCCCCCTTGGGAAATCCCTTACCCCTCATCTCGTAAGAGTAACATTTAGCCTCCTTTTGGGGTTAATTGTTACCCTCCTTTAAAACTTCTCCTTCCTTAAAATTTATATCAAATCTCATGCCAAATATATCCTTAGGGTTATTTTGGATAAGTTTGTAGGGACTAATTTGAATAAAGTATCAAATGCTAGGACTAATATCGTAAGATCGTCAAAACAAATGTTGTTAGGTATTGAAAAGTCGAAGTACTGTTGGGGAAAAATAAAAGAGTTAAAAAATTATGCCTATAAGTTGGTGAATGAGAAACCGTTTATCCACCAAAGCTCCATTTGTTTGACAAAAAACAATTTTCAATAGAAAAAGCAATTATGAAAATGCTATTTTCTAGATAAATATTTTCTAAAACATATTTTTTGACATTTGCCAATTATATGAAAAAATTACTGAAAAATATAGTCTACCATATGTTTGATACATAAAATTGAAATATAAAAATAGTCGTGATTGTTACATCAACGAGTTTTAAGGAAATTTCAACAAAATATATTCACAATCTTATAATATAAAATTGTTAAAAAATCTCATATTCATAATAGTTCATATACAAAAAATTGCCAAAACAAAGCATATGAGTTACCGATATATTAGTATACCAAAACAAAAAGTATAAGTTATAATCAAGAATATATCGAGACAAAAACTCATAGTGTTGAAATATCATTTGGACCCTAATTTTTTTTTAAAAAAATTCGGATGTCTTGGAAATAAATCTTTTTTCAAAAGATTTTTAAAATATATTTTTAAAATCAATAAGATACATTTAGAAAAATTTAATAAATTTTTATAAATACTAAGTCTAAGATTTAAATTTAAAAAATCAAAAAATAAAATGTATATTTTTAACCATGAAACAAAATCATCAAAACTAATTGGAATAAAATCAAGTCAATATTCACATTTAGTAAAAAAAAATTTCTAAGTAATCCTAGCATTGCTATTTTGGTAACTCAATTAAGAATTCTTTTTTTTTTTTTTTTTTTGGAAATTGAATTGATAATTTAGTCTAAAAAATAGTTTTACAAATTATTAGTATCATTTGTTGATAATTATTCATTTGGTTTCAAAAGATTAGTGTTGAAATAATTTATAACTAATTATTGAATACAATTAACAACAAAATTGTACAATAGATTAAAATTAGTTAAAAATTATTAATTAATTTATACATAACTAGTGTTGCAAAAATAATATATTTATTAATGAATCAATTAGTTTTAAATTTTCACAAATAATTGCAGTCTTGTAATAATTATTTTCAATTATTTAAGTATAGTTTAGGTTATTTGGGATAATAGTAAAAAAAATAAAGATATATTATTGAAATATTTATTATAAAAATAAATTTAATGTGTAAAAATGGTTTTTAAGAATATTTAATGTATTTATACATCAAAAAATCAAATTTTAGTGGAAATAGAGAAAAAATAATTAAATAATTAATAATAATTGATAAGAAATAATTAAGAATTAATTTGATATATTTTAAATAAAAAAGGAGATGGGAAAAAATTGTTAAAATATATCAAAAGAGAGATGAGTTACGTGAGAGCAAGACAACTTGTAAGAGAGAGAAAATATTTTCTTCTTTTTAACTTAGAAGCTACTTTTTCAAAAATAATCTGTTAATTTTCTTTAATTAGAAATCAAATTCTATTGACTCGTTTTTTCTAAACGTGAAACAAATATCGAAAAATCGAAAAATAAATCTTTGGAACTTATATTTTTTTCAAAACAAACACAACTCAAAATGGCATTCCACATTCCTCACCATAATTACACAAGTTGCATCATTACCTAATTCTTCTTTGGTGGAGTAGGTGGCACTTAACCGTTCCTTTTTAAGCAAATAGTCAATGTAATAAAAAACTAACTACTATATAATTATTGAATTCCGTAAGCAACTATAGTAGATGCATAAAACAAAAAAGTGTCGCCTTTTATTTGATTACTATATGAGTAATGCTAGATATAATTTTAAATAACAACCATTAAATAACTAACAAACATTATATAAAGGTGTATAGGTTCAATTTGTCCATAAAATCAATTAAATAACTTAGTTAATTTGTTATTATATGCTAATCCTTGGTACTTTTCTTGAATTGTTGACATGGATCCAAACCACACCACAAATAGATTGGATTGGGAATAAGCATCACTCAATGTAAGGTCATGGGTTGTAATAATGGACATGGGTATTTTGGTAGGGCCGGTGTCCATGCCTTGTCTTTGTGATGCATTAGGAAGATTGGCTTGGTGACTCGAAACATGGACCATTAAAGAAAGATCTAATTGTTACTTTCTTTAATCTTTACTAACAAGTTGAAGTAGTTTAATTCAAATAACCAAAATTCTTAAAACCAAATCTGATTATCCAAACTTAGATGACGTAGCATGATCCTATTGGTTAAGGATCATTTTCTTTTATTATAAATATGGACCTCACATCGTTATGAGATAATTAAAACTTTTGTATCGGAGAACTTTTGGATTCAGAACTTTTGATCTCTAACAAAAGAAATCCTTAAACTCTCCACCATAAAAATCTCTTACTAATACACCATACAACACCTAAAGCTTCACTTATTTGAACTTTAACCTCCCACTTATCGACCACATGACTTGCACTTTGCTAGCATTGCTTGCTTCTCCTCCCATACCTCTTATTATTTGCATCCTTTCTATTTAGTTGGTTGATCGTTGCTTTGATAAGTCATAGCACTAACTCTCTCCATCTTGACTAGCCTACCAATCGGTTGTTTGATCAATTCTCAAGAACCCCTCTTCTATGTTTTGACGAATCCATTGGGGAGTTATTGATTGTGAAGAACAATGATCCTTTTCAAGATAAATAAGAAGAACATCAATCCTGCTACTAGCTCAACCGTTAATAACAATGAAGATACCCTACATGATCCTAATCGCAATGCCAATAGTGCTAACCTACTCAATTCTAAGAACGTCAATAATCCTCAAATCAACAATAACATCTTGCCAACACTATTAGGAGTTGGCTCGCCTCGACCTATTGCTCAAGCCTTTGTCACAACTATTCCATATTCGGATTTTCGAGTCCTTGATCGAAGTTTTGAAAGTTTTTCAAGATGCTCAATTCAAACTACAAGCAAGAATAGTAATAAAAGTTTAAAGTTTTTTAAGGTAATAATGTTGTATTTACCCGAGCCCTTAGTAACATTACACAACTACTATCTATGAGTAAAATATCCTAAACTACTATCTTTCAAGTTATGACACTACTAACTATTAATGTTAATAATCATCCTATGCTGCCTGTTCAACTAGATGACAGAGAAGATATTTTTCCACCAAACAACCACTATGCAGTGTACATGACCATCAACCACCTCACTATATTACTCGTTTTCACCGATCAAAACCACTATCTTATTAAAAAGGACTTAGAAAAATTCTTTGAACAAAAGTTGGTAAAATCTATTGACAAGTTTGATATCAAACATTCCTATCCAACTCATATTGCTATAATGCCTTACCCAACAAATTATATGAGTCCCAAGTTTAAAGTTTTTAATAGAAAAGAAAGAGATGCCCGGGAACATCTTATGAAGTTTATAGAGACCTTAGGTTTTTGTGGCTTAGATGTTGATTTGAAGTCGAAGGAATTTTCTAAGTCCAT